GAATTAAATTTAAACACGATTATCGTAATGCACTACAAGAAGGGACAAGGAGACACACGCAAGAACACTTGCCAAAAAGAAGCTCGTCCTTCTCCTCCCCCGTCTTTTGACTCTCGATCGATTGAATTCAAAATCTACTACAGCAGCCACTGACGCCGCCAACACACAAAGCGAATCATTTTTCACAATTAAGAGGCACGCGAATGAAAAGAATGGGAGAGAGAGAGGGAGAGAGGAAAGAGAATGAGTGCAATTGTGCAAATTAATTGATCACAGAGTNTAACTGACGGCTGCTGAAATTCTGCTGCTGCTGCTAAATGTCCCGGTCTCCGGTTTTGGTGTCAATGCTGTACAACGGTGGCTCTCTTTTTAACTGCTAAAACTAAAGCGGAGACAGAGGCAAAAGAAACCGTTTCACATTGAAAAGTGAAAATTATTTCCTGGAAAAAACGAAACTCGCACTCGCGAGTAACGGTTTAATTTGCAGGAGAATTTGCAAAGACGCTGCTGCTGCTGCTGCTGCATTCTTCCATTCATCGATGCTCGGTGCTAATGATGATGAAGCAAGGCAAGGCAAAGCACACTAATTTCAAAAGTAGTCGCAGCAGTTAAGTTTGAAGAAATTGAAGTAAGCAACAGCAGCAGCAGCCGATTTTCTAAGTGCGCCAGTAATTAGCAAACAGTTTTCCCCAAACCGATCGATTTCAAGTAGTGTGCAGACAGCACACAAATTCCCTCTCTGCTTTTGTCTCCCTCTTTTCAATTGAGCAGATTGAATTGGCGGCAGTTAACAGTGTGCACAGTAAGTGTCAATGGCAGTGAAATGAAAGTGAAAGTGAAATAAAAGAGGCGAAGCAGCAGCAGCAGTGTGTGCATCGGCAATGAGGCAAATCACACACTAAAAAAAGAGGCAAGAATGAAATAGTAGTAGTACTATCAAATCTAATTAGCTCTCGGAAGAAGAAAATCTGGCTGCCAAGCTGAATCATTTCGAAATGGCGTTTGCATGTTTAGCAGCAGTCTTGAATGTGTCACTCTAGATGTCACGTAGAGTTGTATCAAGAGAGAGAAAGAGAGAGAGATTAAATCACCCATTTTCATGCAAATGCTTCTTATTGCGAAGCAGCAGAGATCAACACAGCATTTGCATGAAAATGGCCCCCTCTCGTCTTCTGGCTAAACGACAATCATCCAAATCAAGTGCTTAATAATAAGAGTAAACAAACACACGGGAAATTCGGTTCAGCCCAATTTAGCCTACCAAATAGAAAGAGAGAAATCGACTCCAACTTACCTTTGTCACGATAGACTGGTCACCGCCAGCGCCACCGAGCCAGGTCTCATTGAAGGACCAGCCACTGCTGCTGCAGGCGGCAATGGGCGGACTGGGCAGCAGCAGGGTAGAGCTCACTTCAGCGGAGGAGGCAATGTTCGCATTAGGGTGATCTTTTGAAGAAGAAGCCGGTGAAGTTGATGGCGAGGGAGTAAGCTGTGCAAAAAGGGCCAGAAAGCGCTGGTGGAAGCGCACCAGCTCCTCCTGTGAGGCGTTGTACAGCGAGCAGGCGTCGAGCGAGTGCTGGACGTACTGAAGCAGCGAGTGGTTGACCGCCTCTGCGATCTGGCTCAGGTTGAGCAGGCCTTTTTGAAGCTGAAGATGGTTATCACTGGTCCACGAGCGGACGACAAAGGTCGAGGGCGTGAAGAAGAACCGCCGCATCGCCTCATTGCTCTGCAGCGACTGGCCGAGCAGCTCTGAAGTGCTGGAACTGGAGCTGCTCGAGCTTGAGTTTAAGGCAGAAAATGATGATGATGATGATGATGATGATGGTGATGTGGGTGAAGAAGAAGAAGATGTAGTAGAAGAAGAAGTTGAAGTGGAGGCAAAGGCGGCGAGCAGGTGGTCAGCCTTGCACCAGTGCGGCGGCTGATATGTGAAGAAGAGGTGGCTGAAGAGGTGCACGTACAGCGGCAGCTGCGCGGGCAGCAGCACCAGCAGGTAGATCAGCCGCTGGTAGCGGCCATTGGTGCACAGCTCCGGGAAGACCTTCTCGAAGTCCATGCTGCTGCTGAAGACTCGACAAGAACGGCAACTTGCACAAGAGAGAAGCCGACGGCAAAGAGGGCTAGAGCTTGCATTGCGTCGGCATTTGCTTGGTTGGTGGTAGTGTCCGCGCGGCAGCACGACTCTCCGAGGAATGAGTGAACAGACGGCGGAATTGTCGCAGTCGCCAGAATTTTTGCTGTTCGAATTGGCGACAACCAAGTGTGCGCGCGCAGTTCTCTGCCTCGGATTCTGCTGCTGCTGCCGCTGCTGCAACTGCTCCAGTTGTAGATTGCTACATTTGTGTCCATAGCGGTGGAAGCTGTTGATGGTGATGGCGAAAAAAAGTTAAAGATGAAGAAGATGATGAAAATCTTTGTTTTGTTTTTGTTGCAAAACGAAGTTTAGTGTGCAAATCAAAGTTGAAAAGTTAGAAATAGCTCAAGTCAAACNTGTTGGATTCTGCTTCTGCTGCTGCCTCTGCTGCAACTGCTCCAGTTGTAGATTGCTACATTTGTGTCCATAGCGGTGGAAGCTGTTGATGGTGATGGCGAAAAAAAGTTAAAGATGAAGAAGATGATGAAAATCTTTGTTTTGTTTTTGTTGCAAAACGAAGTTTAGTGTGCAAATCAAAGTTGAAAAGTTAGAAATAGCTCAAGTCAAACTTACTTACAGTGCACCTCAATCGCCGGCATTTTGCCACCTCTTCAAAATAGGAAAAGAAAGATCTTCGAGGTAAATCCTCTTCAAAAAAAACTTCCAAAAGAAAGATAGAAATCGAAACAGGCTGGCAGGAAAAATCAGCGCCAAAAAATCAGCGCCAGTTTGGCGGCAGCAGCGCCAGTTTGGCGTGGGTAACATCTTCTGCGACGGGGCACTGCCAGCCAGCACGGGAAAATGCTGGCAGCGGCGGCGGCACAGCTGTTCACAGCGGCGGCTCTGCTGCTGCCTGCTGCATTGCACTGTCAGCACAGCACAGCTTAGCACTCGAGTGTCGTTGCTCGTCACCTTCACATCGCCTTTCTCGCTTTCTCCTCTCATTCACCTCTAACTCACTCTCAACATCCTCTCACCATGCCCATCAACGCCGGTAAAGTGGATGATAACTGGGTCTTCATCCTCCTCCTGTATCACTAACTAATCTTCTTTACCCTCAGCCGCCAACAAGGGCGAAGTGGAGTTCGGCTCGCTGAAGTACTACGGCCTGTGCGGCTTCGCCGGCATCCTCAGCTGCGGCATCACCCACACCGCGCTGACGCCGCTCGATCTGGTGAAGTGCCGCATCCAGGTGGACCCGGCCAAGTACAAGAGCATCGCCAATGGCTTCAAGGTGACCATGGCGGAGGAGGGCGTGCGCGGCCTGGTNACCATGCCCATCAACGCCGGTAAAGTGGATGATAACTGGGTCTTCATCCTCCTCCTTTATCACTAACTAATCTTCTTTACCCTTAGCTGCCAACAAGGGCGAAGTGGAGTTCGGCTCGCTGAAGTACTACGGCCTGTGCGGCTTCGCCGGCATCCTCAGCTGCGGCATCACCCACACCGCGCTGACGCCGCTCGATCTGGTGAAGTGCCGCATCCAGGTGGACCCGGCCAAGTACAAGAGCATCGCCAATGGCTTCAAGGTGACCATGGCGGAGGAGGGCGTGCGCGGCCTGGGTCGCGGCTGGGCGCCCACCGCCATCGGCTACTCGCTGCAGGGCCTGGGCAAGTTTGGCTTCTACGAGCTCTTCAAGATCATGTACAGCAATGCGATCGGCGACGAGAACACCTACCTCTACCGAACGTCGCTCTACCTGGCCGCCTCCGCCTCCGCGGAGTTCTTCGCCGACATTGCCCTCTGCCCGCTGGAGGCGTGCAAGGTGCGGGCGCAGACGCAGCCCGGCTGCTCGCCGCTGCTGCGCGTCGTCGCCCCTCAGATCTACCGCTCGGAAGGTCTCTCGGGCTTCTACAAGGGCCTGGTGCCGCTGTGGATGCGCCAGATTCCCTACACGATGATGAAGTTCGCCTGCTTCGAGCGCACCGTGGAGCTGCTGTACAAGCACGTGGTGCCGAAGCCGCGCGCCCAGTGCAACAAGGCGGAGCAGCTGACGGTGACCTTCGCCGCCGGCTACATCGCCGGCGTCTTCTGCGCCGTCGTCTCCCACCCGGCGGACACCGTGGTCTCGAAGCTGAACCAGGACAAGGGCAGCACCGCCGGACAGGTGCTCAAGAAGCTGGGACCGGCTGGTAAGTTGTGATGGATAAGGCGTTTCCATTTGGTTTTGATTTCTAATTTCGATTTCTATTTCCACCCACCCACCTACTCTAGGCGTGTGGAAGGGCCTCACTCCGCGTATCATCATGATCGGCACGCTGACCGCCCTGCAATGGTTCATCTACGACGCCGCCAAGGTGTACCTGAACCTGCCGCGCCCGCCGCCGCCGGAGATGCCCGAGAGTCTGAAGAAGAAGCTCGAGGCGGCGCAGCAGAAGAGCTAGACGGCAAATCTTTGCCTGTCTGGTTCCTGTCGACCAACTCCTTCAGTGTCTGCCCTGTGAGCAACGACAGCAGCACACTCGTAGTCGTCCTCTTCTCCTTCTCCGTAGTTATTTTAATTTTATTCTTAATTCCACTATTAGAACACACACCCCATTATCCCTCTCTCTCCTTTCCCCTACACTTGCAAATGGCCAATTTTTCCAATTTATTATTACCAGCCCGTCTTCCTCACCAGGAAGATGAGATTATTATTATTCCAACTGTTACCAGCACCACCTTTTTACCACACTATGGGACACAATTTATTAATTATTCTTATTACAATTAAAGAGGAGATATATTTTCCAATGTTGGGAGGTTATTTAAGCTGTTGCTTAGGAGAAAAAGAAAAACTTGAGAGATTTGGCACCAGTGATGACGACGATAGCATAGGACTACTGCTGTACAGTAGTAAAAAAAGTACAGTGAAAAGGAGTAGAAAATAGAGATAGAAAAAGAAAGAGGTACATCTGTTCCTAGTAATGTGCGTGTGCCTTCGAATAGAGGCGGAACAGATTAGCTGCTGTGGTGGTGAAGATGATGATAATCAGTGGTGGTAGTGGTGAGGAGAAAGAAAGAGTACAACAAGCGAGGCTACAAAACCGATGATTGTGAGGAGGAGGAGGAGGAGGATAAGATTGAAGGTAGTGAGTGATCCGTTTTCTTTTCCTTTGCCACTCAGTCGGACACTCTAATTTCGCTGACTGTTATTGCGGCGCTTCGGATGCCGCGAGCGACTCTTCGCCTTGCACAGCGGACAGATCGGCGCATTGCGGTGAATCTGCTGGTGACACGAGCCACAGCTCTTCATCGGCGGCGGCTGCTGGCGAAAGGCGGCGGCAGCCGCCGAGGCCGCCGATGCCGCCCCCTGCGATGAGCCTCCCACTCCCTGGTTCACTCCCGCGTTCTGCTCATTATGAAATCCTCCACCCTGTCCCCCGGAAAGCATTCGTCCATAGGGCGGCTGGTGCCTCTCCTGAAAGCCGGACATGAGCGAGGCAAGTGAGGAGGAGAAGGCGCCGCCCACTGCTCCACCGGCGCCACCGGCATTTCCCGGCGTGTTGGTGTTGTCATTCAGCGGACGGCCGCTNCCGCCGAGGCCGCCGATGCCGCCCCCTGCGATGAGCCTCCCACTCCCTGGTTCACTCCCGCGTTCTGCTCATTATGAAATCCTCCACCCTGTCCCCCGGAAAGCATTCGTCCATAGGGCGGCTGGTGCCTCTCCTGAAAGCCGGACATGAGCGAGGCAAGTGAGGAGGAGAAGGCGCCGCCCACTGCTCCACCGGCGCCACCGGCATTTCCCGGCGTGTTGGTGTTGTCATTCAGCGGACGGCCGCTATTTCCACCTGCCCCACCTCCTCGAACTTGAGCAGCAGCGGCGGCTTCGGCCATCGATCGAGGACCATGACCATGACCGTGAGGATTCGGGTGATGGTGATGAACTCCTCCTCCTCCTCCTTCGTGAACTCCTCCTGAATCACCTCCTCCGGAACTTCCTTTTCCGCCACCACCTCCCGAGTGGGATAGGATCATCTGCCGCTTATCTCCGAGCTCAAACTGCTCCTCCTCGTTCTCGTACATGCGCGGCATCTCCACCTCCAGGCACATCTTGTCCACCTTGCCCTTGATGGCCGTCAGCTGGTGGTAGGCCTCCTTCACTGCCTCCAGCCGCCGGTTCCGGTCCTCCTCGCTCTGCTTCTGCACATTGTCCAGCATGTTAATGTCGGAGTGAATCTGCCGCAGCTCCTCGACGTGCGTCATCTTCTCCTGATTCAGTGACTCCATCTCCCGCTTGAACTCCGCCAGACAGCGCTCCTCCAGGTTGATCAGGTCGACCTCCTCGCGAATTCGCTTTCGCAGGCTGTTCACGTCGGCCATGTGCGCCTTGATCTCGCAGAGGAAGCCCAGTTTGTTCATGGTGATCAGCTGTTTGTTCTTGTTGGCGGCGGTGGCGGTGGCTGCTGAATCTTCTTCGTTCATAGTTTTGGGTTTTGATTTTCGTTTGTTGGCAAATTCTGTAAGAGGGAATAAATTAGTAAATCTGCAAAAAAAATTGGTAGATTTTTACCTTACCGGTTGGCACGCACAGAGCTGAAACTTTTATTTTGGCACTTTGTTTCGAAGTTTCAAGGTTCGTTGTTTGCCAAAGTCACAACGCAGCACAAACACAAACTCAATGGCACACAGTCAAGCAACACAAACACAAACACTCGCTCACTCAAACACACAGAGAAAGAAAAACACAAGGTCCAAAGTCCGCAGGGCCGTGTGCTGCTGTTAGAAGCACTAGAAGCACAGGAATAAGAAGAAGAAGAAGAAGAATAAGAATGGAGAGGAGAAGAATCGCCGCCTGACAGAGAGCGAGAGAGTGTGAACAGTGTGAGCAGTCACCACACTGTCAGTGCACAGAGAATTGGGGGAAAAAGTTGAGGCGGACAAGAATCGCAAGCTCTTCCATCTGTTCTCTCCCTTCCTCTAATCGTTGCTGCTGCTGCTGCTGCTGTCACCCACTGTTGTTTGCATTAGCTATATCGAAATCAGGCAGCAATTGCAGGCTGGCTCGCTCTTAGCATCACAAAATGGCTGAGCGGGCAATATGAAGGCAATTGATGTGCAACTGAAGCACTGGGACGAGCCCAGCAGTGGTCGCGGCGGTGGCGGTGGTAGTGCACCAGCAGAATGAACAGCAGCAGCAGCGGCAATTGGCAATTGGACAGACACAGACAGAAGAGCACTTTACATCACACTGAAACGAGCACCACCACCACAAAGACACTTTTGCAGTGCTGCTGCTGCTGCTGTCAGAGCTTTCACCCCCCTCCCCACACTTCTTCTCCTCCTTAGCTTCAGAGAAAGAGCCTCAATAAAACTTTTCGACGGTTTTCAACAGCAGCAGCAGCAGCAGCAATNGGCGGTGGCGGTGGTAGTGCACCAGCAGAATGAACAGCAGCAGCAGCGGCAATTGGCAATTGGACAGACACAGACAGAAGAGCACTTTACATCACACTGAAACGAGCACCACCACCACAAAGACACTTTTGCAGTGCTGCTGCTGCTGCTGTCAGAGCTTTCACCCCCCTCCCCACACTTCTTCTCCTCCTTAGCTTCAGAGAAAGAGCCTCAATAAAACTTTTCGACGGTTTTCAACAGCAGCAGCAGCAGCAGCAATAGCACTGAAAGCACTGGCAGCCCCACAAAGTCAATGGAGTAAAGTGGTGGTGGTGGTGCTCAGTGCACTTGGCCATTCAGTCAGCCTCGGTTGTGCCTCGGTGTCGCATTTCAACGAGCTATGTCTCTGTCCCTCGTTGTCCGACCCTGCCTCAGTGTGTGTGTGTGTGTGGGGGGCATTAAAGCT